GCCTCGAACCTGGTTTTATCCCCGGCTTGCTTGAATTTTCTGATTCGTTGGTGGGTGACTTCTCTGCTTTCATCTCGCACAACTAGCCTTTTTGAGTGCAACTTAAGTCATGTTCATCTCTCTAAGGGGAAGGACATTGACCGAACCTTGAAAAGCAAACAATCTGGCCTCCTGAGTCCAATCACTACCCTTATTGTCTTCTCTCGAAGTCATCTGCATGCAGATTCACCTGCATCCTTTCTTATGCCCAGAAAGAATCCAGTCACTTTGCTTAGCGAGCTTAGCCTCAACTTTGAAAAGAATCTGTCCCAATAGCATCGCCGCTATGTGTCCGTGGTCACTGATCTAGACAGACGTTCACCAATCCTTTTGTGGAGGTACTGGCTCGTTCTCTCACCTGCGTACACTCACCCATCAAGTCAGTCGTCCTTGATGTAGCAGTCATGCGATCGTAATTTTCTTTCGGCGGCTAACAAGGAAAAAGCGTAGGTCCATGGTGGTGGTCATCATTCTCAAAATAGTTTACTCGCCTTGTACTTCGATGCCTAGAGGGGCTGCGGGTACGGGACTATCTTTTCCAAAAGATCGGCAAGGAGGGGGAAGACTTCGTAACTGGTAAAATTGCTCTATCAAATTCACCCACTGACATCTTCGCTTGTTCAGCGAGGCGCATGCGACAGTCGCAACGCCCTGCGCAGGCCTGAGACCTCAACCAAAAATGTGGCTGAGGGCAACAAGTGCGAGTCCCACCAGATACAGACGGAGAGAGCTGGCCATGGCGACTGTGATTCCATCATGACTATCGTCGACATCATCGATTTGCTGAACAATCTTCCTCAACAATACTCTCAGAATTATGTCACCCAGCAGCATTACGAATGCCTATATTGAGGGTTGTCGTTTCTCCAACGAAACTCGAGCTGGGCCTTAGATGGACTTTTGATTTGAGAAGACATAGTGTTGAAGACAATCGAAGGGTCTAATCTCGACCGGCATGGTTCCCAACTGAAGCCCCCAAGCAAAGGCAACAGAATAGGCAGCGAGATTCAGAATTCAGATGACGCAGATAAGCATCAGAATCAGGTTGTTTGAATGTCTGCCTGGGAAGAATGGTGACTCTTTAGCTGGATGCCTTCGGCCCAAGGGTCGATTGGAGAGCGAGACTCCGTCCATGCATATGGTGTGCAGCACTTCGCCCCATGTTTGCTTTTTGTTAACACACCCCTCAAGGAAAAGGACAGCACACAGCAGGGGCACTGATTGCCTTCGTCAATCTCTCGCAGTAGTGCTTGACTGGTCAACAAAATCTTTTTGGGGATGAACCCAGTGGATTTCGGACATATAACAACCTCACCCACCCTCTCCTTTCCTTCACATTTCTTGAGACATCACCTTCTCATGCACCTCGTCTGAGGTTTTATATCTATATCCAAGATGTCACAACTCATCCCAAGCGCACACGAGACAACAATATCCCAGCTCAAGTACCTCATTGGCTGGATATGCATACACCCAAGCGGATACTACGAAGTGGTCAAGATGTTCGACGAGATCCATGATTCAACGCGTCTTGTCCGTGGCCGGGACGACAACAATAGCTATGACATCGGACGCATTGGCGATCATCTCGTGGTCATAAATTGAGCCCGCTCCAGGCATCTACGGGCAGTCCCGCGCGGCAAATATCACATCTGACATGCGAAGCACGTTCCCAGGCATCCGGTTTATGCTTCTCGTTGGGACCGGCGGCGGTGCTCCCTCCAATAAACAGGATGTTCGCCTTGGGGATGTGGTCTTTGGAACCCAAGTGATCCCATATCAAAAGCGAAAAGTGACTAATGATGGTCATGAGATAATCAGTCGGATCGCCACGCCCCCTGCCATTCTTCAGAGTGCTATGACCCGGTTGGAATCCAAGTTGCGACAGGGGCTAGCGCTACACGAAACCATCGAGAACATTGGATCGCCTTCTCTGTCTCGACCAACGCAAGATAGACTCTACTCGGCGGGCTACACCCACTGCCCAAGCCATTGTGATTGCTTGAGCGCTAAGGTCCAAGCCCTGGGCTCCATCTGCCTCCGCGAGTCTCGCAATAGAGAGGTCTCAGTCAAAGTGCACCAGGGCGCGGTTGGCTCGGCGGACAGTGCCATGAAAGACGCCTGTCGCCGCGATGAATTTGCCGGGTTGCTCGGGATTCTCTGCTATGGGACGGAAGCACACGCCATCATGGAGGCAGTCTTCTGCCTCACGGTGTGCGGGATCTCTGACTACTGTGACGGCCACGAGTGCGATGGCTGGCATGCCTACGCGTCAATGGCCGCCGCCGTGTGCACTAAGGAGCTTTTGTGTACGATCACAGACGTTGCTTCGCGCTGTCCTTTGGAGGTGACTCCAGGGGAGCTCGAACGGTGGGTACAAGGCACGCTGGAGGAAGTGAACCGCTCAATCCGCCAGGCCGCCGACTCCCATGATGAGTACCAGACCATGGATCGCAATATCGAGATTATCATCGAACGATACGGCCTGGTGCAGGAAGTGATTAGCTCAAAGCTTTATCCTTTGAGAGACCAAGTGGATCCGGGGAATGCCCGGCAACTCAGCGACTCCGTAGCGGCGATGAAAAGACTGCAGAAAAAGTTACAGAAATGCATCAACGCCCTGCGCGGCCGGGTCGACCAGCAAGCCGAGCGGCAACCTAAGGGTTCGGAGATGTACGAGAGCTGGAAGCTTCTGAGAGACAGAATCGATGACTGGATGCGCCGCGACAAGGAGGTCTCCAAGGCTGCGCACAAAATTCTGGGGAACGGCCGAATAGGTTGGTTCCACGACGCCGGACACAAAGTGCCACATGCAAACCCACAGACTACTGAGCCTCGGAAGCAATTTATGGGTATCAGTTTCAATCCTTGGTTTCGGTCTAGCGGCGACAAGAAGAAGGAGCAGGAGAACCAGGCGAATGGCTCACCTGCTCTTGCTGGTACTACTGCTACTACGGAGAGACTCTCAGCAGCCTTCCTATCGGCGCAACAGGGTGACCGGGTTCATCGTCCAGAAATGACAGAACGGTCATCTCACCAATGGGTACCAAAACCTCTTTATCTGTCTCCCATCCCATCATTGGATGAGGCGAATCTCTGGGACTTGGCCGATCCTGCACTCACACCAGCGTGCGAAGAGCGTCCATCGCTACCACCACGGCCGTCTTCGGCGGCTATCGAGGATGAGGATGCACCTCCGCCTCTGCCACCACGGCCGTCTCGTCCGGCTGTCGATGATGAGGCTCGGGATCCGGCGCTACCAGCTAGTCCTGGCCCACCAAGACCACCCAAGCTGCCGGTTTCTGAGCCTCCCATTCCGCCGGCCTCCCCTCCTGCTTCCTCCGAAGGATCACGAGCATCAGCCGAATCATCTCGGGGTAGCACGACTCGACAGGACCAACATCTTCCATCAAAGCCTGTAGAGCAGAAGCCTGCACCTCCATCTACCTCTCAATCACCTTCTCCTCCGGGGGAGTCCTCGGGCCTGTTCCCAGCAACCGCTTCATCCGCTTCTCCAGAGCAGACAATTGAGCCTCTGTCTACTCAACCTATGTCCCTTATAGGGGAGGCATCTGACTGTCTCTCAGCAGCTGTTTCAACTTCGCGTCCAGCGCGGACGACTTCCCCTTTGACTGGCCTTGAGCCTATATCACCTTCAGGCGAGTCCTCGGACTCGTCCCCAGTAACCCCTCCATTGCTACCTTCAGAGCAAAGGACTATGTCTCCATCTACTTCGACATATCCTGTAAGAGAGCTCTCGAACCCTTCCTCATCAACCGTGTCATTGCCGCCGCCAGAGCAAGCATCTACTTCTGGACCTACGTCCGCTCCAAGGCAGGCTTCGAATTCTTCTCTCACCATTGCACCTTCGTCGACTTTTCGACCTACGTCTCCACCAAAAGAGCCCTCTGACTCGTCCCCAGCAGCCGCTCCACCATCCTCCTCAGAGCAGACGAGTGAGCCTCGACCTGCCCCTCAAATCATGTCTTCTACCGCAAGCGAGTCGTCTAGCTCTCCCCAACCAAGCACTCTACCACCTATACCAGCTCAAACGATCAAGCCTCCATCTACCCCTGAACCTATATCTTCTCCTTCAAGGCAATCCTCGGTGCCTGCCTCAAAGACCATGTCATCATCAGTGGTGATCGTGGTGTCATCCCCAGAGGACCTTGAGCCTCCTACCTGTAGCACCTTTTCTGCCAAGTGTGAATTTTTCAAAGAAAAACCAATCATGGGCCTTCTGCGCCAGGTGAATGCGGAAGATTGAATATTCTTAGAAGTCCTCCCGGGGTTGTTCTCTTCATCTGTTTGCATTGCCTTTTTATCTAATGATTCATCTCGCATTGTTATGTTTTTTGTTTCCCCCCCCCCCAACCTTCAAACGATAGAACCGCTGGGGAATTGGTCCCAGGTTAATGTCTAATTAATGAGATAGATGATTGCATGCGCAATAGAAAGTCTACTTCGGTATATGATTCCAGTGTTTCCAAGCATAATCACCGATATACATTCGGATACGACCGCCTGCAGTTCTTCCACATTTACCGGGTACTGACAGTTTCGAGTGTCGTTCTAACCAAGTAAGCTGGGTATAAGTCGAAAGGTGAATTCGACCAGGAGTCCTAAGGCGGCGAGGATTATCGGGATGATTACTCCGTACTTGCCACTCCATTGCTAATTAAGGCTAAAAGCCCATGGTAGTGGTAAAGGTAATAATTGTAACGCACTGAACCGAGTAGCTTATTCATAAAAGTAGTCGGGAGAAAGCGAGGCCAGCGTGACAATAGTGCCGAGAGCATCTATCCATGATCTTAAGGCGCCGAAGCGAGTATGTGCTGAGCCCAGTACCTGCGAGGAACTGGCCATAGGGGAACCAGTGATCAGCTGCGCTGATTGGTGGATTTCACAGGCTTTTAAGCACGCTGCTCGGCTGCTCAGGTACCTAAGCCTGCTGAGCACTTGTTCTCTGCCGCTATATGCCGCTTTTGCAACTGCGAGGCCTAGCTCGCATGAAAGGCTTCCCCCGTGAGCCCTTATTGGGTTCCTTGCTTGCATAAACGGGTCATCGTAAGTTTTCCCAGTCTCGCATGAATCGCATGATCCACTTCCACAGTTTGGGGCCGGCGACAAACATGTCTTGACGAAGCCTTGGTGGCGGATTGCTAATGGTATATCGAGTTTTCCATTCCGACATAACCGTCAGCTTCTTTGCGATTGTGGATCTGAGATCGTTGTCGTGAAAATATTCCTTTTCCTTCTTCTCGATCTTTGATGGTTGCTGATCCTGTTTTTGCATTTCGTGATAAAACTGGACATATCGGGGCGAACGCCGCTGTTGTAGAAGATATTGTCCCACATCGGCGTCAGGACCATGTGCAAAATGCCATACGGTAGAAAAGAGGTCGTAGTCAGCGATCGAATCAAGGCCGAGAAGGCGACTCAAGCTCCAGGCGACGTGGGCCCGATCAAGTGATTCGCGATAACTGTTGATCAAACTCTTCTCGACGGCGCCGGGCATGGCAGCAATAAAACCATCAGTGAACGAGGTACGTAAGTCTGAAATAATTTCGTCGCGGTATTGTGGTAATCCTGGGGCGGCTACGAACATAGATTCGGGGATGGATGAGGCAAATGCCCAGTCAATTATGCACGTGATATTATAGTCGTCATCGACGTATATGTTATTGACACTCAGATCAGCGTGGCACAAGGGAAACGTCTCCGGAATGATGGCTGGAAGTTGACCACCATGTAAAATGTCGCGAAGAGCATTGCCGACGATGATGTAATCCAATCTGTTCTTCGATGAGTCGATTTTGCCTCCAACGGTCACGAAGTCGTTCCATAGGCACACAGCGTTCTTGTATTCCATGCCGGACTGGTAATCCTCGGGCGAGGGAACAGGTGCCATGAAGCAATGATGCGACAACGGCAGAGCCTCTGCGTGCTCCACGAACGCGGAACTGAGGCTGTCCCAGAACTCTGCCTCAGAAGTGAAAGGCCCACGCGAGGTCTCCAGATCGTATCGTTCATGTAAGATGCGACCACGTGAGAGGCATTCCTTCATTTGGAAGGACCCCTCTTCTTCGAAGAGTGAGCCGATTCTCTCGAAGCGCAACTGGGAGAGCTTCCAGGTAATGCCGCCCAACTGTGTGAGAATTCTTGCCTTGGTGGATGTGTCTAGGTCACGCTGAGGAGAACCCGCCGGTTTCCAGACTTTCGAGAGTGGCCATCCCGGCGCTTTGCTCATGAGAATAAATGGGATACCAATATCGTTGGCGGAAGAAGCACTACTACAGATTAGCACAGGTAAGATTGTGTGGTCTGAGAGGGTCTCTTACCAGTAGTCGTATACTGTTGGGACTGGGATATCGCTATGTACCCTTAAGTATCGGAGTGTGGCAGCTTCACTGGCCAGTAGCTTCATTCCCATCTCCATTGGCATAGATGGTCTGGGGTGTGGAGATCTCAGGACCCATCGTATCCCGTCTGTAAACACAATGAAGACAGCCCAGTTGAAGCTTCCCGAGGCGGGGCGTTGATCCGGAGTGCAAACACATGGAACACCGTGCCGTAGTGCGCTTGCTCGACGACACAGGGCCTCAAGGTCAAAGTCGGAGTAAGTGAATACGTCTGGCATCGGATCTCGGAATGTTGCAACTACAGGGATTTCGAAATGGAAGTAAAATCAGGTCAAAAAGCGGTTCGCTGCTCTTGCAAGTGGAAATCGAGTACTGTACTCTGGGAGACGTTGATTAATGGAAGCGGTGAGACCCAGCTTCTCCTCCCCTTTTTCACCCTCGATTGTAATCCTCTCTTCCTGTCCTTTAAGCAGAGTTCTGTTCGCACTCTTCAATGTTATTCGAATTAATTGTATTTCCCAGTAATCAAGGAAGTTGCAGGCGCTAGTTGCTAAACGCATTTGGTCATTAATGATTTCCGAGGAGAATGATAATTCCCAGCTGTTGGTCTCATTCAGCATCCAGGTTTCCGGTCTGCAACAGCCCTCTCACTAAGATCATCCTGAATCCAACTTTGAACTTGCGATACAACCTCACCAACCAGCCGATCATAGTGCCCGCCGTTGGGCAAAAATATTGACTGGTGTGCCGTGACTTCGTCCATATGCTCCATCGGCACCGGGATCCAAAGTGAATCGTCTCCGTGCTTCCAATGGTGTGACGGCAAAAGTACGAATTTGCGTGGCTTGCCGGTGCATCTCTCCTTCCTCGTCAGGGTAGCGTTGTTACGTTGACCGTGGGTATTTTTGAGACTGATGTTGACTGAGTCGCTGGAGGCAGCCATACTATTTTCCTTCGTCGACAGCGCCATTCCATCCTCGGCATCATCAGGATCCTTCGATTCTCCCAGGGTGGAAGAGGATGTGGTGAGTTCCAGCTTGTCTGCGGGCACTACCAGCGATTGCTCTTCCGAGGGTACACTCCACGTCTGCAACAAGGCCGTCTCCAATGTCGTATCAGCAGGCTCGGTCTGTGCATGATTCTCGTGTTTCAACTCCCGCGGGACCTTCGTTCTGATGGTGGCTGTGCTGAGGGTGTAATAATTGATCCAACGAACTCGATGCGGACTCTCCTCCGTTTCTAAAGACATCAGTTGCCGATACCGTCGACGCAACTGCCTGTAGTTGTTCAAGCAGCCAGCGAAACGGTACGAGGACACCATGCGCTTGTAGATTGAGCGTGATAAATGGTGATGGTTCTTGTGGACGAAGTGAAGCATGCCATCGATACGATCTCGCTCCACGAGATGCACGTCATTGGCGAATGGCGGGTCAAATCGTGGCCCCGCCGATGCGGCGGCCGTTGCGACACAAAGATCGATATCGCTCAGGGTAGCATCTTGCTGGACTATTTCGGCTGCGTCTTGTTTAGGCTGCCACAGCCCGCGAAGCCCCGTCGGGATCACATGTGGATGCAGCCCTAGGAATGGAACGTCGAAGTTGACCAGCCCGAAAATGCGATGCAAAGATTGTGAGGGAAACGTGCTCGGTAGGAGAGCAACATCGGCTGCGAGGATGCCCCCGAGACTATGGCCCAGTAGGATCACGTCGAGATCATCGGCTACGTGTGGTGACAACCTGGAAAGTAGGAATTAATTAGCCGGAGTTTTCTGTGGGCGTACTCTTGCTGTGCAAGGTATTCACCTACCATTCACTGAAGTTCTCAACCGCCGTGCGTATCTCGCCGCGAGATTTGTATCGAGGATATATGCGAGTGTATATCAGGTGCGACTCGCTCAAGAGATCAGTCAGGGAGGTGTGTACATGGGCTGGGAAATCGGAGAAACTGGCTTCCGAGCCTTCGAAGCCATGGATGTAGATCAGAAGCAACCTTCGCTTAGCCAGGTGCTGAGGTGATGTAGGCCGCGGGAGGGACAGACTTGAGAAGGAACTCATTCTGTGGCCGATGCAAACGAGTTGTGAATATGTGGTCGAGGAGGGATATAATAGTAGCAGGCATGACTGATTATGTGCCAAATCAAGCACGCTTTTCAGTCAGATATATAAGGTGATTCTATGCTGCCTGTAAGTGCAGTGTTAAGTTCTGTAAGCACAGCCTGGGCTTGGGAAGTGTGACTCCACAGCAGCCAGCCACTCGGAAGGCTTCAAGCAGCAACCGGCTCGGCCCGATATTCCTATTTTTGGACTCGAATGCGAATACGAAGTCCGGTCGAGTAAACCTTTCGCAAGAGTTAGACCCATGAGGTGTTGTTGTGTGAACCAGATTTGTCTTCCCGAGGAAAATTCAATGTTGGCAAGAACCATTATAGACTTAACCGACAAATCACAAGCTCCCATATACCTGCTAATTCCAGCCCAGATGGAGGGTCAGAATCACACTAAGAAGTCTTAAAAGGGTTTGGAATGACTTAAAAATACTCTAGGCTTCTTTCCTTTCGATTCTACTATTTTAGTATCTGTATGATCGCCACCGACCCTGATATAAAAGAACAATTAGAGGTATTCCCTAATCTGGAGTTTTCGGCCCCTAAAATCATCGTTATTCCTAATTGACAAAGGGGCTCAAAGTTTGATTTCAGAGCCCGCGTGATTATGAGAGTTCTAGGGGGCTAGAAAAGCTCCAGTGGGGTTAGGAAGTACTGTAGTATACGTAGTCACATAATCTCTGACCGCATCAGAGCTGGTACACTCCAGTTGGATATACAGCTAGTAACCTGACAAGTTGTAGTAAGCGGAAAACGGCATTTCACTGAGACCTGTGGATGTTGGTCTTTGCGGGGAAGGTCAAGCGCTAATGCATGTACCCATTACACGTGTACTGCCTAGTCGCAAATGTGCTTGGTAAAAGTGGAACTAGATTTGATGATTTCAGATCTTCCGGGTAAGGCTTCGTATATACTACAGTAAATGGTATGGTTGATTGGTTGGGCTGTAAAATATTCACAAGGTCAATATACATAATGCCTTTAGGTGTGTATGAGTACTCATCCTTTGAGGGATTCCCTTAAATTCGGGTTCGGCCAAGGGCTGAAGACAGCAAGGAGACGGACAGATCCCTCACCACGGAAATCATCATGGAGTTCGCCTTCGCGAAATCAATATGCTGGAGGAGAGCCCCACAACTTGTAAATTATGGTTTCTTGCCGTATTCAACGCGGTGGCCCATAGCGTCTGGAGATTGCAGAAGTGGCCGCTTGTTTAAAAAGCCTTAGAAGTTGTGCCACTAGGGCTCATCAACCGCACTGATGGATCCCGAGATTGCAAATGTGGTTGAGAAGTTGTAGCTGCCCAAAGAACTTTGTTTAGTACTAATCATAGCTTACTAGAAATCAGGGTCATCTACTTTGAAACTCTTCTTTATTTACTATTTTCTCTCGCCATGACAAATGGTTCTTTAGTAGCAATAATATAATTGAGCAATCCATTGACGAATAAGCAATTCAGCTCGGAAGCTACCTATCTTAGAGAACTAACTAAAAGCTAACGCATGCAGCACGTAGGCCCAGCTAAGGGGATGCTTAATGGCGCCTGCGACTGGTAACATAAAATGACCACAATATCAATCGCGACATGCTGTTCCTCCAAAATCTCACCTGGGCCAGTCGTCTCCGTCAAATCTGGTTAGCTTACAGCTTTCTCAACGTGAACAGGTGCAATCATAATGGGTGCCAGGACCAACTCACCTCATCTCTAGTCTTAGTATCAATGCTTCTACCATCCATGCTTTCAACATCTGTCCATTCACTGTCCGTGCTTTCAACATCTGTCCAATCACTGTCTGTGCTTTCAACATCTGTCCTTTCACTGTCCGTGCTGTCGACATATGTCCTTTCACTGTCCACACTTTCAGCATCAGTGCTGGTGCTGGTGCTGGTGCTGGTCTTGAGATAACTTGATGCACGCATTCGCCTCTTCTCCAACCCGATAATCGCGCCCCCAGGTGCTACTACAACGCCCGTGAGAAGTGCCAAACAGCTCGGGAGCCAGTAGGGCCGGTTCGATCGATGCAGCGCCCACATGCACACCGCGAGGCACAGACTCAGAACGGTATTGAGCATATAGCTCCAGACCACCACATCCATCTTCCACATCGGAGTCGGTGGTCTCCATGGCCCCCCTGCTTCTTCATCTCCTTCCTTCTCAACCTGCTGCTGCTGTTTTTGCTGCTGTTGCTCATCCTCATCTACCGGATTGATGGCAGCGGAGGAGACTCGATTATCGAGCCTGAACCAGCAATCATGGAGCCAGGCGAGAGTGGCCAACGCCTTCTGGCGCGTGCGGAGCGAGCCGCCCAGTCGCCAGCAACACCACAGATACATGTTCCGAGTGTTACAAATGGCGAGGGCGAAGCCCGGGAAGTAATTATGAGCGTACATGACCTGCAAGGTAATCTCGACCCACTTCTGGCGGGGGGAGTTATCGGCGTCGCAGGTGGGGTGGCACATTGATTGGGGTGGGTTCTCAAGTAACCAGATGTTGACCCCCATCCACGCGATGTAATGTATACAGAAAATGATGACAAAGAGTCCTTGGGGTGAGCAGGTCCATTGTCGCAAGGCTCGGCCCTTGGCCGTCGAGTATTCCGTAGAGGCCATGCCTCTAGCTTGAGGAGGATGGGTATTGAGATAGTAGGTAGAGTGTGGATCTTCGATCAAAAGGTTCAAGTATTCTTTGGTGAAGGGCGAAAGAAAGAAGTGTGTGGATGAAGTCGTAGAGTTGAGTAATTGTGTGCGGTTTCAGAGCAGAATGGAGATAACTGAAGGGAGACTGTAGAAGAGCAGAATGGAGATGACTCACGTTCTCGAGTGATATAATTATCAGGCAACGGCTGAAAAGACCGCCCTCGTGGCTTGTGAGAAAGCGGTGGTCGGAGGTTAATTCCGTTCGGATTTGTTTCATGGCATAGCATTGCCATCATATCATACTTGTCATAGCCCTAAGGTTGACGTAATGAGCCTACACGGTATACTGGATCTGATCCGAGGAACGGAAGAAGAAGGATGAGGAGAACGGATGTTGCTTAATGTTTCTAATTATCAATGATGTTCCACTGCTGGCTATCTCATTCAGCATCCATGTTTCCGGCTCGCAACTACCTTTTTCACTGAGATCATCCTAGATCCAACTCTAACAGGCTACCATCCCAACCGATGGAGTCAATGATTGGGGCATGATTGGGGCTAACTCCGGGCTCGACCCAGGGTCATCGTCATATTCGAGGGTAGAAGGTCATTGTGTGTTCACACTCGCGGTATTTCCATCTGGACCGGATGTCGCAGGCGTTGTGGAATTTGGGATTTGTCGATCACATCTACACCTTGGCAACGTCTAGCAATGCCCACATGCCTTGCAATGAAATCTTTGGTCAGTGTCATACTGCCTATGAGATGTCAGTCCCTGTCTATCGTGATGCCTTTTGGGCTCGACATACGGCACGTTGAGTCTGACAAAAGCAAATTGATTTATACGTTCAGGATCTTCTTTCCAAGCTCATTGGGCGACAGGGTTAGCAAGCAGCTCAGAGCATGAGTGTTCTCGGAACGCATATCTTAATGTATAACCACTCACGCGGTGCTTTGAATCTCCGCATCAACAGGGGGTTCCCCGGAGCTTGGTAGATATAGAAGCGTGAAACAACCACAGAACCTTGTACTCATCTCATCATGTTTCGTGTCGATCATGGAAAGAGTTATGGTCAGAAATCTGTGGATGTCGACGGAGGACGGATGTGATACTATGAGTCTGTTCAATTCAAGCAGCACCCCTCTTTTGTCTAGTTTGGATGATTAACCATTCCTCAATTTCAGACTCTGTAGTGGATCCGCTTTTACCACAAAAGGACTTAGAGGATGTGAATTTTCAGGTCCTGGCAGTTGATTATTTCCACATTGCTAGTCCTTCTATTCAAGGAGCCTGATATCTAGTGACGGAACTTGGTATCCGGCCAGTTAGGCTAGTGAGTGAATACATCACAATTTGTTATCAAATGCCACTTATGAATGTCTTTAAGAAGACCCCAATTAAATGTGAAGTGCATGTTATCAGAGCAGCAGTGATTATCTTAATCTGTCCTCATCCCATGCATATTCATAGGGGAAGAACTGCAACAGGTCTCTATAGTACGATACCAATCACAGAGAAATGACAAGCAAATCGTGTGATTGAACTACATTTTTACCTTATATCGTGCGCTAGTCCTGTCACTACCCATCGTACCGCATAGGAAGCATCCTTATCATTATCGAGGTATTCACGGGCTAATATCTAGGACGAGTTCTAGCCCCTGGTCCGATATAAGTGTGGGTGTCGATAGAGAAACTAATGCCGAATAGGCCTCGACAGGAACAATGGTAAAAGGCACAGGTCTAGTCTGATACTGAAAACATGACATGTGCATTGAACTATCAAGAACTTTACAGCCCTAATGATGAGAGCTCGGTGGAAGAATGCGGCCCTCTACAGTTAGGTTATCCGAACCGAAGTGTTCAATGTCACCAGCAACACGCCATGGGCCCACAGAAGAGTTGGTATATCTTTCTCGGGTGCGACTTTTATCTGAATGCGCAGCACAGTGCAGGAGTCTGGGGAGCCCTATTTACCACAGTATGCGCTCCGCGAGCCTGTATGCCTAGTCACAGTTCCAGCACCTCACCTGACATCATATACTGCCTCTCCCCCACCTGGTACCCCATGATATATCTTCCCTTTTGCCATCATATATATTCAGTGGTTTTTGCCGTCCATAACCACAAGCTTCTTCATTGTGAAGTTCTATAACCCATGAGTGACCTAGCATCTGATGAGCCCGAGGGCATTCCCACACTGGATGAAGAGACACTGCGACACCTCGAAGGGAAGGTGTATATCGTCAGCGCTAACGAGTGCCATCTGACCCGTCTCGTAGGGCAAAGTATTACCGATTGCGACGCGCAGTGTTTTGAGCGACCAGGATCAGTGACAGCTTCGAGGTTGTCATCAGATAATTCATTGAGTGCGGCTTCCACAAATTCCCTTATCTCTTGTGAGAGACAAGTTCGGTTCATAGTGCCGCACATTCTGATGGCTTTTGCAATCAGTTAACCGACATTCCTGCTGATCCTTGCGGGCGAGTAATGCTGATGAGTACTTTATCTGATTCTGTACAAGCGCAGGCTTCCTTGCCTGTAGAAGACTCCCGATGCTTGAGACGATAGGAAGTGTTATCAAGACCGGTTTCTGACTTTCAAGACTTTGCAGAGTGCCATGTTTCCAAGCACCTCCTTCGAAGCATCGTCCGAGGTATCTCCGCAACCGAACCAAGACAGCGAGGTGCTCTGTCCCTCAGCAAGTTTCTTGGATATATCCCCGGCAGATGGTAGTGAGTCAAGAGATCCTTACATTTTGGTAGTTAATCGAAGTCTATTCAGTACTTTAGCTTACTCTAAGCCCAGATAGCTAGTTCGAACCCGTCTTCCTCTCTATATGCCTGGCTATGGCAAATGCTTCGTGTTAGAAAAGGCGGATCGCCTCCCCAAAATTCCATCTCACATATCCCGAACATACCCCTGCTCCGACACCCCTCCCTTATCCAACACAATATAATACTCCGCATCCTTGATCGCCTCCAGCCGATGCGCGATGGTCACCACCGTCGACTCCCTCATCTCCTCGCGCAGGATCTGCTGGATCTCCAACGAGCTCTCATGGTCAATCGACGCCGTCGCCTCGTCGAGGATGACGATGGGACTGCGCCGCAGCACCGCCCGCGTGAGGCCAATCAGCTGCCGCTCGCCTTGGCTCAGATTGCGGCCTCCGGCTTCCACGGAGGTCTCGAGACTCCAGCCGTGACGGCTACAGACGCGCTTGAGCACCTCGCCGCATTCGGCGTCGGAGTACTCGCCCGTCGGATCGAGGTTGAGCCGAATGCTCCCGGGGAACAGGACGGGGTCCTGCGCGACGAACGTGACGCGGGAGCGCAGCGCTTGCGTCGTGACCTGCGCGATGTCCAGGCCGTCGACGAGGATGCGCCCGGATTCCGGCCGCACGACGCTGAGCATCGCGACAGCCAGTGTGGACTTGCCGCTGCCGGTGCGCCCGATGATGGCCGTCGTGGAGCCGCCGGGGATGCGCAGGGAGATGTTGCGGAGGGAGGGGTCGAGGTGCGGCGCGTAGCGGATCGTCACGTCCTCGAAGACGATGTCCTGGCCGAATTTGGGCCATGAGGCCGGGGGGTCAACCGTGCCGGGTGGCTCCTGCTCCACGTGCAGCAGTTCGTCGACTCGCTCGACCGATACAAAGTCCATTTGGAGCTGGCCGTATTGCTTGCAGAGGGCGTGGGTGGAGGTGACGAAGTTGTGGGCCGCGATCAGGACGAAGGCTGCCAGCCCCGGGCTGACGCTGGTGTACAGCGCGAGGACAGTAAGGCAGAAGGTCGAAGCCGCGGAAAGGCTCTCGAACCGGTACATGAGCCAGCTCTGCAGTGACCAGTAGAAGTGGTCCATGCCCTGGAATTTGTCGACGACGGCGATGACGCGGTTCTGGAAGCGGCTTTCGGCGTGGAAGGCGCGCACGGTGGTCAGGCCATGCAGAAGTTCGCCGAAGTTGGAGATAAGTGGGCTTAGCGAGACCATCTCCAGGCGTCGCAGGCTCTGCGAGGTGGGGAGGAAACGTCGGAAGATGAGGACAAAGGCCGTGGTGAGCAGGAGCGAGAACCCGAGAAATGTCGGGGTCACAGTTGCGATCACGGCGATCGAGGACACCCAGGTGATGGCTTGGAACGCGATCATTTGGAACTGTTCGCTGATGTTTCCGTCGACCACTCCAATGTCGGAAGTTAGTCGATTCATCAGTCGGCCCACCGGTGTCACATCGAAGAATCGGAACGTGGCGTTGCTCACCCGTACCATCACCTCCTCGAACAGTGTTCGGCCGGCGCAATAAACGATCACCAGCATCAGAAGCTGTGCGAGCAGAAGCATCAATGACTGAAAACTTGTAATGATCAAAAATGCTACCAGCCAGGGTTTCACATTCTCATCTGGCGCGGGGAAGCCATCAAATGGGTCCCGCGGCGCCCAGTGGATGTTGTTTGCAATCGTCGAGGCGGTAGTTAGTTCCGCACGGGAAGACAGACGGTTGAGGTTCGATTGTCCGAAAAATAAGAGCATCTGCTTGTATGCCTCTCCCCACTCCTTGAGAAACCATGACTGGCCAACGGAAGACAAGCGATAGATTGTCAGCACCGCAAAGAGCGCCAGCCACCAGCGGTATTTGCCAGCTTGGATGTACTTCCAATACACCCGCGCCTGCACTCCCCATTCTGCTCTATGTTCTTCTTCTATGAACTTCGTGGGAATTGCAGCAGAGGCATCCTCGAGAGAAACTTCACCCTCGTTTGCAGTGTCTGTGCTTTCCGACAGAGCACCTTCTCGGTCATCGCTGCCATGAGACGACACATTCTGGTTCGTTTCTACCCTGGCCTTCCCATTTTCGATGTGAACAGTCTGGTCGGCAATTTCACCGACTAGGTGGGTTCGGTGGGTGACAAGAACCACAGTCCGGTTGCGCATCAGCGGCCCCAGGAAGCATTTGTTGACAACTGCCTCCGCTGTGTTGTGGTCTAAGGCTGAAAGAGGATCGTCAAGTAGCAGTATCCTGGCTGAACTATACATCGCCCGTGCCAGAGCCACCCGTGCCTTCTGGCCCCCGGAGAGACCGATACCATTCTCACCCACAAAAGACAGATCCCCATGCTTGAAATTGGAGAGATCCGGTATGAGTGCACAAGCATCCAGCACCAGCTTGTAACGCTGTTCATCAAATGGCGAAGAGAATAGAATGTTATCCCTGATACTCATGCTCTGAAGCCATGGGGTCTGGGCACAGAACCCGACCATCTCATTTGGGAGATAGGAGTTTCCTTCCAATCTATCCAGCTCGCCCAGTAGGGCTTGAAGCAAAGCTGTCTTGCCGGATCCCACCTTGCCGTGGATAACGGTCAGACCTTGGGGCACGTCCAGGTTGACATTGGAAAGTACAGGTGATAATTTCCCAGGCCAAGCAAAAGTACATGATTCCAGTTTGATGAGAGAGGGGCGGTCGGCAGTAATTGGCGTTCTCTCTTTATCCGGCTCTGCCATGAAATCTTCGATTCTCTCCATAGCAATTGAGGCGTTTATGAGCACAGTGATGAGACTCGGAATATCTCTCAGTCGGGTTTCCAGCATTGTGAATAGTTGAAGAGCAGGAAAGATGATGTCTATGCGCAGCGGGTTTCCAGCCAGAAAGGTGTAAGCGTATAATGCGACCACGGGGAACAGCCCACTAGCAAGGGTGTTGATGAAGCGAATAAGCACGTTCCAAAGACTAGTGACAATTCGTAGATTCAACTCAGACTGCCTGGCGTCCATTACCTGACGAAGCCAATGGTTCTGCCAGCCGTACCAACGCAAATGCCGCAGAGCCTCAACAAATTGGGAAGATATTTGGAGTCGTGCATCTGTTGCAAGGCGACGTACACGTTCCCAGCGAAGAAGTGTACGAGTGATCAAGGCGTTAAGCGTCTGCGCAACCAAGATGGCTATCACTCCCAAAAAGCATGACGGCCCGAGGAGCTTCCAGACGAGAACAGTCGCAATGATAAGCCCCAGCGGTTTGTCAATCAAGGAGTCGATTTCCCAGAACCTCTGGGCTACTTCGTAGACGTCCCCACGCAGTAGATTGAAGATCTTGCCCATGGAAGCTGTCTTCTTAATCTTCTCCTTGTGCGTAACCCTTTTGGGGCGCGAGAAGGGCCAACACCACCTCTTTGGCCGGCAATTCGATTCTGTCTCATCATCCGTTTCTTCAGAGGGCTCAGCTCCATCTTCCTTCTCACTTATTTCCTGATCGAAGACGTTCTTTCTCGAAAGTGCCTTCTCATAGACCATCATGATCATCTCGCCTCTACTCCGTTCATAGGCACGTCTCCCGTACCACAGATTGAGGACCTGAGCCTGCGCAAGCACCAGGCGAAGCACCAGACTCAGCAATGCATAGGTCAAAGCCGGCCTATTGGACGTGCTTCGATCCTTCATCGCCTGTAACAATTGCTGCAGCAAGACAGGGGTAGAGAAATCTGCATATTTAGTCAGCGACGCGCAGCCCCTCAGCGACAATTTACCAACCGCAAAGCATTTGCACAATGGAAATCGTCGTTATTATTAGAACGTCGATTCCATTCGCTTGAAGTAACCTTCCCAGCACGGAACCTTTCAGTTGACGGAACTTCTCGTGCAGTCTGCGATGCTGAAACTCGTATCCCAGAAACCACACATCTTCCTCCTGCAATTGTTTGTTCCTGCCTACAGATATCAGCGGGGCCATCCAAGACACACTCAGGAACTGCCAAAGTCGCAGGTTGTCCTCTGGGCTACGGGAGTTGCTGAATGGCGGTTGGCCAACGGCGCTGATGTCGTCCTGCGGGAGACTATGGCTGCGAAAGGGCATTGCAAGGATGACCGTACAGCCGGCCAAAGCAGCAGCAGCAGCCACATGACGGGTGAAGAGTCTAGAGACATTATACACATCATCATTGATGATATATGCGAACTCCACCACCAATGCACTCAGAAAAAAGGCAAGCAGGGATGTAGGGCACGATCTCGGGCGCAGCACGGCAATCATGGCAGCCGCCACAGCCTGGTCCCTTGTCAGCGGGCGGGATTTCATCGCGAACCATTGCTTTTTCCACGTACCCAGGATACAGGTAACACGATGTAGATCAAAAGCCCGCTGAGGATGACGCTGGTCAATTCAGCGAGGAATCCAATCATCGAGATGGCGAACAGGGCTACAACCCAGCCAACCCGTTGCTGTGGCCGGTCTACGGGCAGCTCTATCGATGCTGGCTGCTCCTGAATGAATGGATGCATCCATTTTGGACATCTCAGCAGAACTCCATGTGAGGTTAAATGGCTCAGTGCAATGACCAAAATAACTATCGCTGGTGCAAGGGAGAGGTACTCCAAAGCACAGAGCGACGGTCGCGCGTGGGGGGAGTCCTGTGGCGGAATATGTCAATAACAGATATTCGATACAAGGACTTGATGAGATATCAGCGGAGCTTACCCAGAGCCAATGGCAGGAGCTAGCATCTCCATCATTCATGTCTATCAGCATCAGAATTGACCACCTAGTGACTGAGTCTGGGTAACACAAGACACCAAGGTTGAAGGAAGTAGTTTAGCCATCTCTCATCTCACCGACCCTAGGCTAGGCTAAGGCGGCCGACTCCGCACCGCCTACTGTTGATGCCTCAGGCATAATACCCGAAAACAAACTAGCACTAGTCGATCCAGGATCCATGGAGGTAACTTATTTGCAAAGCGCTAGCTTTGCATCTCTATAAGGGCCTAAGCAAAAGTGACTAATAATGATTAGTTAAATTTCCATGAAGACTTAACTAGTCTTACTTTCAGTAGTAGTTACATGATTTGTGCTTTACCGGATGGCGGGGAGGGTTTCAGAATATATCATGAAATCCTTTTTACCTGTAAACTTAGACTGTAGACCTAAGTTAATTTATACAGATTTAGGCAGAAAGGAGTTTGTTTGAAAAACATAAAAGAGAAAGAAAAAAAACAAAAAAAAAAAGCCCAGAAAAGTTACGATATTGAAAGAGGGTAGGAAGGCCTCGCAGTAATAAGAATCGTGGATAACAGCAGAAACAGATATAGATTATATGATATGTGTTTGGCAGGCTGCCCAAGCAGCTAATCAGTAAGGTATGTTCAGAAGCCTGTGAAACCTATCAATTAGTGCAGCTGATTACTTGTCCCTTGATGGCCAATCTCTTGAAGGGCTCAACACACACGTGCTCCGCAACAATGACAATACCCTGTCAGGAGGATTACTTATACATGGGCCTGACTTGCAGGTTCCTTCCTTGACCAGAGGCTTGTTAAAGCGCCTCTAGTAGGCCTAGTTAGGGACTGTTGACAGGATCTAGGATTTTTTGGAGCAAACAATCAGCTAGATCAGTATCAAATATTCTTTCAGCTGAGCAGGGCAACGCTCTTGTTACCTGTACTGAGATCTTTCTAAGCACTTTCTAAGTAGCTGAGGGCCTATTTTGCAGCTCTAATAGCCTAATATAAGTAATAAAGCTAGATAAGAATATCTATACAATGATCTAAGAATCTGTCTATGCAGCTGTTTAAGTACTTTTCCAACTACCTTTTGCATACTGTAGGAGGGAAAGTAGGAGTGCAGGGTTAGGAGGGGTTCAAGGATGCTGGGTAAGAGAATAAGGTATAAAGGGAAGTTGTGAGATAGAAGAAAGACAGACAATCAATTAAATATCTGCCTAAGAAGGGACCCTTTCCACTGTCGGCTTTAAGGTATGCACTAAGTGTCTGTCCACTGGACGGAAGGTTGCTGCCATCCACCTGCTCTCCCTTTCCCACCCGCTTCCTCAGCAAAGATAGCCTTGCTTGTAGGAATTCTTGCGCGATTTTTCATCTGCATAAACAGCCTCGCTTGTATAGCTATTCCTTACTCAAGTTCTTACTCACATAAACCACCTCACATGCATCAACGGCCTCACTCGCCACAGCCACCACGGCGACAAAGACTGCCACGACCGCGCTTCCTCGCGTGATTCCTCACTCGCATAAGCCTTGCTCGCATGATTCCTCGGATAAGTCCTCGCTCGTAGGAACAGCCTCTGACGGCGGTCCTAAGGCCTCACCCCGACTGCCGCCCACCGCCCACCGCCCACCTCGGTAGTTCTCAGCTAGTTCCGCACATATAGCCTCACGTAGCAGAAGCAACCACCATTCCACCTCTTTCGCAGGTGTCATTAGCCTCACTCAGACAAAAAGCCTTACTCGCGCCTGCCTTGGCTGAGGGCTGCTCACAAGTCACCGGATGGCCAGGACCTCATACCGTATCAACCTGCCAAGCATATGGGGTACTGTGCTTAGTTTCTTGTCTCTTGTAAGTGGGGCGAGGCCCAAGAGCATTCATGTACTGAAAGCGAAAGACTGAATTATAGTCACGTGATATTAGGGTCATTGTGAATGTGCATTAATGTTGATGTGAATTTGGAAAGGAGATTGTCCATTTCATCTTCATCGGAACCGAGAATTTCATGTCAAGCCTTGTCATCAGTACGTCTCATCACTTGTAGTCTGCTGCTGACCAGCCGGCATACTAGTTCTGTGTACCACGCGAACCCACCGCCGCCTTCTCCACTCGCCCATTCCTCCGGTATTACCTCTTTCTTCATAGTCTTGCGAGCGTTCCTTGCCCTTCTTATTCTTGGCAGACGCCTTTCTATCACTGGTGGAATCGTGAACCGAATCACCCCCAGGCCCAGATGCCACACCATTGTCATCCGTGACGAATGCAGGAGGCAGATCCCAGACCCAGCCCCCGATCTCTCCACCGGCTGCTTGGTCTTCAGCGCTTCCCGGCACCTCGAACCCGACCCCCGTGATCATGCGCTCGACCACCCACTCGCGACAGTCTAGATCCAGCTCCCACTTTTTGCCCTTCCATGCCCAACCGCTCGGGGGTTGGACGTCTTCGAAGAACCGGCACCCCTTGGGACGGTCGCCCGCAATGCGAAGTGGCGAGAGTGGGTCATATGGCATCGGGCTGAACAGGAAATGGTCCCATTGAGAATCGGCATATGGCGCCAAAGAGCGATACTGAATTTCAAAGACTTCGACCTCGCGTTCTTCGGTGTCAGAATCCAGGGAGATATTGGCCAAGGAGCCCATCATGGACATGGCACTAGAGGAGGAGGCAGGTAGTGGAACTCCAGCAGCGTTGGCCGCACTCCTGAGTTGTTTCTCGGCCATGGATTCCGTTCCTGAAGGTTGCGAAGAGAGGCCCGCTGTGACAGCCTGGACAAACTGGTGAAAACGAGGATGCAGGGAGAATACAGCGAGATTACCGCCCGCCAGGAAGACCAAGCGCCAAGGAAAGAGATGGGCAGTCAAGAACAGAAGAGCGGCAACGAGCAGACACAGTAAGAACACCGCTGACGAAAGCTTTTCGTCGGAGAAATTGGTCACAGGTGCAAAGGCGGAAACCATGGCGTCGTGGGCGTCGGAGAAGTCCGCCATGCAATTCTGCAAGTCTCGCATATTCATGAAGAAATCCTTCGAGGTCTCTGAGGCTGGCTTGATAGTTTTCGCAGGTGCCAGTGCCGGGCCGTCGTACGAGTAATAGGGCATAATACTTGAGGTAGATGTTGACGGAGGGGGAGGGTGCCGCGCCAGAAATGCAGGCACCATGATGAAGAACAGAAGGATAGAGATAGGAATCAGTACAAAGAGGTGTGGGTTCAGGCAGATGAACGAATAGATGAAGAGAAACGAAAGCGTGTGGGAGGTTTTCTTCCAGCTGAACAGACGTTCAACCTGGATTTGAAACGTAAAGACAATTCCAATTCTGCATTAACCCTTAGCATGTTCTGTAAATTAAGGCTGGGAGATTTAGTATTGTACCTTGCATTGAATCTGCGAAAGTTGTTTGCCATGAGAGGTAGGCTGAAGGCTGGCCGCTTGGGGTCTGCGGCGAGAGACTTGTCTGACAATGATTCCTTATCGGCATCTTCTGTAGGCACTACCTGCTCCAGAATTCTATGAAGAGGTGAGTAAGTGGGAAAGCTGGGAGCGTTGCGAACGGATTAAAAGACATACTTGGAAAATAGCCTGTCCTGCAGAGACCGCCCAGCCCCCGAGACTGATCGCTTGTGCCCCCCAGCTCGCGAATGCTTGGTATCATGTTTCTGCTTGTCGGAGAATATGACAGGTATAGGCTCATCGCGATTGACGATGGGTTCTGCGATAGTGTCATCCATGACGATTCATCAACAAGGACGCTTTTGCTGTGATCAAGTCAAGTCAAGTCAAGTAGGAAGAGCATCTCCAATGGGGGATGTGGAGAAAGGGAAGGGTGAGGTCACAACTTGGAGGTGAAGTTGCAGCAGAAGCAGAAGCACATGCACACACATGGCTGGATGCCCAGATTTTGGGGTCACTCCGAGCTTATCGGGCGGGAGCTTGTATTGTATGGATTGTATGGATCGTATGAACAGGGTCAGTCAGTCAGTCACAGACGGGTATTGCGCAATACGATCATTACGTAGAGTAGCAGGAGGGTCGGAGTGAGGGCGATCCCGCCAAAACGGTAACTAAAGTGGGTGTTTGGGCTGTTTGCAGCCATGGGAAGCAGGCAAAAAGGAGCAGGGGGGCACCACTACTACGTAAAGAGCTCTGAATGGTCTCGGGCTCGAAATTGTTTACCACCTCTTTATTTTTTCCATATCAATCCATCCTCTCTCGGTCTCTTTTTCTCCTAACACACTTACATCCCCCCCCCACTTACTGTCTCAGGCATAGAAGTATAGGGGATTTTCATTGTTGACCTGTACTCTTTTTCTTTTCTTCTATCACATCACCCATTCTTCTTCTTCTTCTTCTTCTTTTTTTCTTAACCACCTTCCTATTTTCTCCAGTGTCGGGCACACTCCGTGTTTGCTCTTTCTCATTGGGAGTGGTTGCTTAGGTATACACAAGCCCGTACGTAACTTTCCTCGACGCCAAGTCTGGCAGCGAACAACCTTCTGCTGCCCCAGGCAGAGTTTCTTCTCTGCAGCACATCGCTCATCTTTCCTTTGGGATTTTTGCCCGAAAAGGGGTCCCCCCCCAGAACCGCTTTCACAGACAGAGCTTTCATCTGCGGTTTTGACTCGATCTAATCGACTACGTACCAGATTCCTTCGTCGCCCAGCCCGCAGCAGACACCGCTGTTCTTGACCCCCGCAATGGACCGGTAGCAACCGTTGATGGGTCGCGCGACGGTGTTGATCAGGGTTCTGCTTGGTTTGGACACCGAAAAAAAAAATAATAACATTCGCCTTCTACTCCTGAATGCCATTGCGATTGGGCTTGCCCTTGCATCCCCCCCCGCTAATTCGCTTCCCCAACCTCTCGCCTCCGGTTGATCTACCTACCTGTCGTCCGGAGCTCTCCCGGTCGCAGTTCGAGGATGATGCCCGAAAATCCATCTTTTCAAGACACTCCAGGAAAGGGGCACTTGCGCAAAGTTCAATCGAGATCGTCGAGCCCGTCTAGAAATGACGGCTCATGTCCAGAAGGTAAAAATGCTTGATCAAGATTGCAATCGTCATTATCGCTTGCAGGTGGTTCTCTGTTGACCACGGCTAACCCATTGTCACTCGCTTGAACAGAAGGACCCACGCGCAGACGGTTGCAAAAGCACTCTTCGACCTCTTTCCTTTCCGAAGCCTCGTCCCACTCGTCCAAATCCATTGCCGCAACCCGCACAAGTGTAATGAACCGGAGGAGGCTGTCTATTCGCGATCAGAAAGCGCCGCAAGGCCCACGACCACAGGATCCTTCACGAACAAGGTATTATCGCCTCAAGCTCTCAGTTGCCTCCCCACCCCACCTTCCCGCTATTTTGACTTTAATTGTGAAACCTTTTGCCCTCAGCTTCAAGATCTCTGATCACGCATGTCGATACTAATTTGAATAACGTGTAGCAATACATCCGGCTCGTTCTTCCACTCCGGAAACTCCTCAATCGATTCCACAAATGACTCCACGCAGAGCAACAATTCCCGCATTAGCCTACGATCTACCAGTGTCGGAAATTTAGCGAAGCCAGACTACAATCAGATGCCCTCCCAAAGTACCGACTTCCTTCCCTCGGTCAACTTCGACGACATGCAGAATAGTATCGTTGGGGAATCGCAGTTGAAGTATTTCCCCGTGCCCGGAACTACTGGTTCGGGGTATGAGCCAGGTTGGGCAAATGGCAGTACCAATGGGGAGGGTACACGATCCAGGAGCAATTCTATCCGGCGGAAAAGCGTCGTTAATTCGTCTAGCGAATCGGTGTCGTCTCGTCCATCAGCGACATCTACTACGACAGGTCGTAATCGTCGCCAAAGCCTTGCTCAACAAGCGGGTCCGAATGGTACAGCATCGCGTGCCCCGAGAAAGTCCATAGGCCCGGCCTCCTTGCCATCAATCGTAACTGGGAGGCGACAAAGCCTGTCTGCGAGGAAAGCGAGCGCGGATACCACTCGTACAGAGCAGACCAGCTATCTCCGTCCCCGCACGCAGCAATTCGATCTAAGTCGAACCGAAGGTACGAAGCTTTCCAGCAACGCGCGGAGTATCAAGGCCAAGTCGCTTCAGCCACCGTTGCGAGAGCCCGACGATAAATACTTGACAGCGTCTGGCCCAGCAGAATATTCTCGGTCATCATCGACTAATGCAGTTCGAACACCAGTTAAAAACGCGGCAGCCGCTCCTAATACTCCAGCCTCGTCCTGCAAAAGAGTCTCGGTCATGCCACCACATGTACATGGTCTTGGAGCCCGAACCATAAGCCCTACCGATGCGCGTCGGGCTAAACGTATGTCAACAGCTCCTTCGGCGCACCCTACGCCCTTTACACCTCCGACCCAAACAGAGCCCATGCCTGTCCGACCTCGCTCGACCGCGCAATCGCCATCGCATATACCTCGAAAGAGTGTCACTCCGTCCTCAAACCGAACCACCCCTGACCCGAATCGCAAGTCGTACAGTTCCGGCCTGTCGCTCTCATCAACCACAACCTACAACTCCGTAAGAAATTCAGCTGGCTCACTGCAAAACCGCCTATCTCACAGCTCGTCAACATCCCGATTACCTACTCCTAAGACCCGCTCCGAACCGAACCCGCCTGATGAGGAGGTCCCACCTGTCCCTGCGATTCCCAAAGCCTATGAATCCCCTAAGGGTGATTTTGAGCCGCCGAATTATGTCACTCCGCGCAAGCCAAGCTTAAACATGGAAACAGGTTCTAAACCTAAATTTGAGTCAGAACCGGATAACAACCTGACCGCGACGATTTCAACGGAGGATGACGCCCCCAAGACAAGAGAAGGACGCGCGATGAAGACTCCTGAAGCCAAGCCTAGAACCTCCGCGCTTCTTGGGAAAAGGAATCTTCAACCTCTCAAACTACCACCTTTGAATCTGCTTCCCCTTGGCACACCCATGACAACCAAGATCGAGGCATTGCGAGATCGTGACGATGATTTGACCGTACACACACCATCCGCTCAGATCGCATCCAAGACACCGAGTACTCCCCTGACTGCCTCCAAGGCTAACTTTTTCTCGACGGTCGAAGATGATGATCTTTTGGCAGTTACACAAGCGAGAAGCAGCACGTCACACTTCGCGCTGAGTACTTCATCAACCGCCTCAGCCTTGCGAACTGTCAGCGGTTCCAGTGCTCTTGCAGGGTTTGACAACACGCCGACTAATGCAAGGACGATGTCGCCTTATGTTGCATATAGCCTACCGAAAAGCAACAGCGAACATACAGGCTTGAAGCAGAAAGTCAGTGACGACTATTCGCCCAAAGCGATTCAATCGTACAAAATGGCTGGTCCTCGACCTCAAACACAGTCTTCTGCTTTCTCATCGAACGCTGAGACGATCAGCCAGCTCTCAACGCCCTCCGACCCGGAGAACAACAGTATATCGAGCTCATCCCTTCGCAACAAGATCACAATGACGCGGAAGCGAAGCAGCTCTAAGACTCAGACAGGGGGTGAAGCCAGCAGCGATCCCGTCAAACATGACCCAATGCCACCCCCGAAGATTCCAACTTCCTCGACCTGGAACAACCTCACTAGTATCAAGACTTCCAGCCCCACGCTTAAACCAAGCTATCTCAAGTCCCGACGGCAAGCATCTGTCTCGAAAGCTTCTGGCCAGACACTGAGGAAGCCTAGCTTCAGCAGTGAGCAGAGTCTTGCCTTGGAACCGAGCCCTTCCAATGACTCCAATGACAGTGATCCTCCCGTTCCTCAGCATCGGACTGCAAGCTCGATCTTTTCGCCGGTTCATAGGATCATCAGTTCGGCTAAATCCAGCGTGGCTTCTACTCCAGCTCCCCCACCTACCAGCGATCCCAATGTTGACCCCGATGTTCGTGTTGCTGACGAAGAGATGCGCAAACTTGGCAGTAAACGCAAAGACTTTGAGACGGCTGCCAAGAATCTGGATGATCTACGTCGCAAGGCTAGTCCCAAGGAGCGTGTAAGCCCAGCGCAGGCCTTAAGAATTGCAAACCTAAATATCTTCGAGCGAGGAGAGATTATCGACTTTAAAGATATCTTTTTCTGTGGCACTCAGAATGCCAAGAAACACGTTGGTGATCTCTCCGTCCAAGCCAATTTCGGCTACGACGACGACCGCGGTGACTACAATATCGTCATTGGGGATCATCTGGCATACCGCTATGAAGTGATCGATGTTCTCGGTAAAGGAAGCTTTGGTCAGGTAGTGCGATGCATTGACCACAAAACAGGAGGTCTTGTTGCAGTCAAGATAATCCGCAACAAGAAGCGATTCCACCAGCAAGCCTTGATCGAAGTCAACCTTCTTCAGAAACTGAAAGAGTGGGACCCTCAGCGTCGGCATAACGTGGTCAACTTTACTCAAAGCTTTTACTTCCGTGGCCATCTTTGCATCTCCACCGAGTTGTTGGGAATGAATCTGTACGAATTCATCAAGGCTCACGATTTCAAGGGCTTCTCCCTCAAGCTCATCCGCCGCTTCACTAAACAAATGCTGAACACGTTGGTGCTATTGCAGGCGAAGAAGGTCATTCATTGTGATCTGAAGCCGGAGAACATCTTGCTGTGTCACCCATTGAGCTCTGACATTCGGGTCATTGATTTCGGCTCCAGTTGCTTCGAGAATGAGAAAGTATATACATATATCCAGAGTCGATTCTACCGTTCTCCCGAAGTCATCCTCGGCATGTCGT